ATGTGATCATTTGTTTTTGGACGTCGTTCTTGGGGTAGAACTGGCAGACAGCCATGCCGCCCCGTTTGAGCGACGCATAGAGGCCGTTGAAGAATCGCGATAGCCGGCCGGCGGGGGACGTCTCGCTGTTTTCGGCGTTGCAGAGCCATTGGATGGCGCTGATGCTAATGGCAGCGTCGAATGTGCCAGCCCGGAATGGTACGCCTTGCCCGATATCCGCGAGGAACAGGTCACCCTCCACATCCCGTTGCAGCGCCACATCTAGCATGGAAGCGCTAACATCCATTCCTACCCACACATGGGGACCGCCCTCATCTTCGGGAACTCCTGACAGGATCTCGCCTGACAGCCCGCTTCCGCACCCAATATCGAGGATCAAGCTCGGTGATTTGAGGTCGAGTAACTCCAGAGCACGCCTGGTCATGGAGGCCTGAATATTTTGGATACGGGAGCTGGTCGTGTATTTGCGTGCTTCGACATCGTCGTAGTGGATATCGGCCGCGCTGTCGTCGTGTCAGTTGCGGTGAGGGCGAGCGGGTTGGGCGGGACGACTCACAGGGTGTCTTCGGGGCGAGACATGTTGAAGGATGGTTTCGCAACAAAAGAGCCGGCTTGAATGTCTCGGGGGGAACTGGAATTGAGTCACCGAAGGAGGCGCGGGTTTATCAGATGTTGTCGCAGTACGCAGCCCCAAATCCAGGAATTTTGAAGTGTGGTGGGGCAGCGAGCGCTTGGGGGCACGGATGAAGCAACAGATATTGCGGGATTAGCTTTCGCCGTGGTACGGACGGAACGACCGGAGATAGATCAGACAATCGACGGCGGTTCAGCGTCTACGGGTACCTCTCGTCTCTTGTGCCTGGGCTGGCTTCTTTCCCATCAGAATTCTGTTGTGGGCGATAAGGCGAACAGAATCTAATCTTATCGATAACCAAACGTTCGTGGAAGGCCGCCAGGATCAACGATCAACCGAATCCGGCCTTAGTGCCCGGTTGTGGACATGCCCGGGACGCTAGTGAGGTTTCAGCCAGAGACGTCATGAACCTTGCAGTGCTCAGCCTTCCATCCAATGGTTGCCAAGACGCGGCTGCCGATCCCCTGAATGCATCAATTGGCCACGAAGCCAGCTTCGACCTTGATCCCGATTCTCTCCTTAACCTCCCACTATCATGACATGGTCTTTTCTAGCTTCTAGCTTGAATTAAAACCACCCCGCCAAAATGTGGATTTTACCGCTGGTTGGCTACCTCGGCTCTGTCGTGGGCTTCTGCTTCATGACGTTGGCCATAGGTGCGTTCCCAGCTTTAAGCCCAAGTGGAAGCAAACGGTCCCCGCGGGGAGCGCGTGGAAGTTTTGCGCGATGCGATTGTGATGCTGACCTGTGTGTGCGCCATAATAGCGTCGGGTCTTTACTACCTCTCCGAGATCGTCGAAGAACATACCGTGATTGCGAAGCGCCTCCTCACGAAACTGATCTACTCCATCATGGTCCTGCAGCTGATTCTCTGTGTCGTCGACCGGTTCCCCTTGCTCCCGACGGCTCTGGGCATCTTCTCCCACTTCATCTACCTCGGAAACATGCGGCGATTCCCCTTTGTCAAGCTCACAGACCCGCTTTTCTTGGCCTCATGTGGTGGGTAGCCTGTAGTGTTGCGCAATGGGCCGGGGCAGAAGTTGACAAGGGCTACAGTTCTCGTTCTCCTAGACCACTACGTCTGGTTCAAGCACTTCTCCCACCACCAGGAGCGCGCTTACCAGAACATGGCCTCGTACTACGACACCCCTGACGACGTCCCCTCGTTTACTGAAATCGCCTCCTACTTCGGCTTGTGTGTCTGGCTCGTCCCGTTTGCGCTGTTTGTCAGCCTCTCGGCGAGCGACAACATCCTCCCTACCATGGGTAGCGAACCGTCATCGTCTGCTGGGTCAGCGGGGATAGACACTGGGATGGGAAGGAGACGTGGGCAAGGCATGGCAAAGGCCCTGGTTGACAGCATCCGCGGGGCGATCACAGAAGGGAGTGCGCTAGTTGGGTGGAAGAAGCCGGAAGATCGGCTTTAAGGGTCATGTTCACTCTCACTTTTGTGTCATGGGTTGTCTGAAACTTGTGTGAACGACCGTGTTTTGGCTGGCTTGATGGATGAGTAAGCTTCGCCTCCCTACCATTCCCTTGCCGCCAGACAACAAGCTAACAACCCTACTAGAGAAACATCATGCCATTGTACAGGCAGCGACATGATACCCACGAATAGAACCAAAGCGCTGCATTCTCACCCCCCCATGCCACACTGCCATCATAACCCTATCTCCGCGCACCACTCAATCTGCTGCCCGCCTCCTCCAGGGTCGCCAAAAGCGAAGCCCTCCTCCCCGACGACTCCCCGCGCTCGCCCGCGCTATCCCTCCCCACCCACTCATAATAGCTGGACGTGCGCTTCACATTCTCCTCCGTCAAGCTCAGCCCGCCGGAACTGACGCCCCTTTCCGAGGACGACGAGCCTGAGCCCGAACCCGAGCCTGAGCCCAGGGCGGCAGTCGATCCGCGCTCCTGTGCTTTCCCGGTGTGGCCGTACAAGCTGCCGACTGAGGCCACGTTGGAATCTGACGACCCCTGCGCGGCGAATGAACCTCGGTACCGCCGCTTCCCGGCTGCCCGCTCGTATCCGCCGTCCCAGTGCGCCTCGGGTTGGCAGATGGAAGTGGCTGCCGCGCGCCAGGAGGAGGAGCTACCGCTGAAGTCGTTGCCCCGCGCCATGCTGTTGCCGTGGTTGGCCAGGTCAGAGGTCGCAAGGGAAAATCGGTGGGTCCCGTCCGTGGGGCGCTGTTTGTGGGAGTAGGCGTCCGTGAGCCGGGAGGGCTGTTCTTCGTCTAGCCCAGCGGCCTCACGGGAACTGCGGCGGTGGTTTCTGCTGCCGGATCCGGTGCCACCGCTAGTGTTCTCGTGGACGAGTCCGGCGAGGGGATATGTGAATTGCGTGTTGTTGGGGGCCGGCGCCATGTTTCTGTTCGGTGTGTTATTGCTGTTTAGGTGTCTTGTCGTTTTCCCGTGAAAGGCAATGGTTCTAGAAGGCGGTTACATTGCCAAACCGCTGATTTATATCCTTTTTTCTCGTGGCATCACCCTCCGAAGGCCGACCACGGCTCTCCGCCTTGGCACGGCCGCTCCGTGTTTGCCCGTGGCACATGCTCCCCGCAGCGTCCGTTGACGTGTTCCGCGAGCGGAAAGCTGCAGCCTTCGTGTGGCCATGTCGGTACCAACCGCGGGAGCAAACTGGGGAGCTACCGGCGGGCCTGGCCCGGCTACGGTTGCTCCCGCGCTGCCCTTCGCCTCCGCCCCATTGAAAGCTCGGAGAATACCCCAAGTGCCGACATTGGTGGGAGCCTAACGTGTGAAACCTGTCGGGTGTTTTGCCCTGTCGTGACTCTTGGTGTTTGGTTTGTTTGAACATGATAAGCGGCGCGGTTGCCATCTTGGCAGTTCGCGGGCTTGTTCGGTCTCCTTCCCATTGGCCCGGTATGCGTTACCGGTAGTGGCTGCCGGAGGTCTGTGGCCGGCGGGTCGGTACCTCTCTTGTCCGCCTCAATTTCCTCATGCCCGGGCTCGGTCGGCATGTCATGTTTGCTGTGTGGCAGCCCAAACGTTCCGCAATCAGGGCATGGGATTAGTGTCAACAGGCCCAGGAGATGAGCGATCACTTCTGAGACTCTTGGTTTGCTCCTGACGGTACCCGGGATATAATAGGTGTATGCATGTCTATTATATTTGAATCACTTAGGGCAGAGTAGTTACAAAAGGTTCAGGCGGTTTCCAAGACGTGCTATATCCCACAATGGAAGTTGATTCTGGCCGGCGTGAGGCGAGATCCTTACCCCAAATGGCTCGTAGGCCGTGCTTCGTCCATAGCCTGCTTTTGGGGTGTGCCTCAACTGTACAATCACTAAACGGCCAACCGGGGTCGGAAGTGCCCAAGAGCGCCGCGGCCTCCTTGTCACTGTTGTCCTGCGTGACACAGCGGCATTCGCATGCAATTCTCCACTCTTCTTATCGAATAGAAGGTGGGCAGCCTGCGAGTTACCCTCTCACGCGCATCCTTGGGTTGGTGGGTTTAGGTTTAGTGCCTTTGTTGATCAAGATCCGGCACAAGACCTTTTGTACCAGGACTCATACCCGGGAACCCGGATGCTGGAGCGCCTTGTGAGCCTACCCAGCAAACCAGGCTCTGACTCAAACCATCGAGCCAGTAACGGATCTCCCACTTGGTGTTCCTTAGGAAGAGGCACCTCACCCGACTTACATCGGGACTTGTCCTGGCGAAGTCCAGGTGTAATAACCGTGGCCATGCTCACCTCTCCTTGCCTGATGCTGTATTACCTTATCTGTGGATCTTTTTCTTCAGAGAGTACACCATCTGTCTTCCGATGATTACCAGGAGCTAAGCCTCAGTTCTCAAGTTCTCAACGACGCTTGAAGGCCCCCGAGGCCGTCCCACCAAACCTTCATCACGGAGGCCTCTTCGTGCCTATAAATCACATCGGATGTCACACTCCGACTAGGTACTTAGGCACTCTCCACCAATCGAAATGCCGCAAGAAGACTGGGCCCCAAGCCCCGACCGGGTGTTCACTGTTTACGTAGTTGTGAGGATGACTCACTAGTTTGTACCTACCTACCTACCTACTACATACCACACCAGCTGACCCTCGCTGTAATCCGTCGGTATGAAGGCTAGCCCTACGCAGTAACACCTATAAAAATTTGAAGATGTTACCCGAGATAATCAAGCTTTGTGGTCTTGTCATTCCAACCTCGCTAGGGCTTTTGTGGTGAGCTTTCTTGTAGCACCGAGGAGCGGGTTGAAAAGGGGCTAAGTTGAAATGTTTTCGCCCACGGGTCACTCTCTCCGAGATCATTGTCAGTTCTTGAGGTTGGCGCAGAGAAAAAGAGTATCGCAAAATATTGCGAGGTGTAACACGACTCAAAAAGCAATGCTTTATGTCTTTGCCCACAACCAGAATCGAACTAGTGACCTTGTCATAGATAATCTCGTCGAGATACTAGTGACACGCTCTACCACTGAGCCATGCGGGCGTTGATTGGTTGTGTAAATATTAGCCTTGCTTTTATCCGGGACCTCCCCACCCGAACAGCCGCCTTCGGGACAACCTCAGGTGTTTCTTGTGGTTCTCAGTCTCAAACAAAGGCTTTTCAGCCCACTGGATGCGGGCTTAATTCCCTCTTCTCTTGATCGATTCTTCGAGTCTCTGATAGACAACCTTTTCTATCCTGCCTGCTCGTGTAAGTGTTCCACCCGAGGCTCTAAGTCTCTAACCGTCCAGCACCCGATCTGAACTACTCTCCATCTGTGCTTTCACTCTCGCGTGGCCCAAAGTCCCCTGCATGTGTAAGTCTGCTGATGTTTCAGTGTATGCGTAACATGGCCGTTTGTCTTTCCATCCGTCTACCCCGCTCGAGACCGGACCGTTGCAATGGGCTCGGGGCTCGCCGCATCTGTTTGTGCTCTGTCCCAGTCGAACCTTCGGGGAGTCGGGGTTGCGACACGGCGAGGGTAGGGAAGGAGAGTCCGGGTACTGTAAGGGTGCCACAAAGGGATGGCGGTGTGCCCGGTGTGCCTCGTGGTATTGAACGGGGAGACAAGTTGGGAAAGGGTCAGTACACGGTGGGAGGTTTAGGCGATTGTGATCCAATGCTCGAACTTGCGGTCACGGAGAACGTGTAGACGGTAAAAGATGCTTGAATATCTATAATTAATTCTGGCAATCAAGAATATACTTGAAAGTTTGGGCCAAGCCTGTCGGTACGGAGAGTTGGGCAACATTACGTGGGCACTTTGACTTATTAATTCCAACTAAACAGAAAGAAAACCAAGAGTTCCGGGCTACTCTGCAAGGAGCCTTCTTGCCGTATTATTCAGCGCGGCGGGGAGAAGGAGTTGTTAAGCCGAGTCAGTGTTCTGGCGTTGGTACAAATTACGGTTACCTAGGTAGGTAGTTATAACAGACCTTCCTGCTACTCGGGCGGGAAATACAATCTTGCTGCCGGCTTGGTGGCCTGCTCGCAACTGCGAGAAGTGCTGTGAGAGAAAATGGCACCAGGAACCCTCCTGCTAATAAGTATTGTGGTACGAGTATTGATGATCGTGGACGGTTATCAGATAATACTATTGCCTACTCCACCAAAACCCACATCGCTGGCCGATATAATAAATGATGCAACACTTTATATATCCCGGACAGTAGGGAAAGACTTACATTATTTCTTGTTGTTTGATCCTTCCAAGATGAGTACTGCATAAGAAAGCAAGACGACCTAGAGGTTCATTCATAGTACATCGAGTGCTCCCTCGGTCCTAATATCCTTCAGGACGGGCCATTATTGGCCAACGTGCCAGTCCACCGAATGGATCGAAACAGCAAAGGCGCCGAAAGCCAACGAACAACTAGAAATCCTCCTCCTGGGTATAAGAGCCCTCGCGGGGCAGAAGCCACCTTTTCCCTTCTCCGACCCTGGAATAAGAAGCAAACCAGGGCGATCCTGGATGTAGAAAGGAGGGTAAAAAAGAAAAAAGTGACCAACCACGGAACGCCGAACAACCTCCCCGTTCTCCCGTTTTACACCCCCTGCCGGCTTAGCCGCCGTCCCCATAGTTCCGTCCCCGTACCTTAAAGAGACCCGCCTCGAATAACACGCACATTCGCCACCCTCGGAATGGTGGCCAGCTCCCGATTCTCCGGGATACTCCCATCATGGCTGCGAAACCCGGGCGCGGACAGCGACAGCCCAACCTGCTTCCCGCGGTCATCATAGCTGCCACCACCACCACCGCCACTGCTCAAACGCCTGGCACGGAAACCGCCACCCCAAAACCCGGCACACCCCCTCCCCCTGCGGCGCGACTCAACCCACTCATCGCGCAGGATATGCCAACTGGTCGCCGCAAAGATAATCGCATTCCACAGCCCTTGCAGGGGCAGCACCACGGCGCTGGCCAGGTTGAGGCCGTAGCTGGTGCGGGCCGGGTAGGCGAGCGAGTAGACGCGGTTGATGCTGCTCGGGGTCCAGGTGACGAGGATGGAGAGGGCAAAGACGAACGACGTGCGCAGGTACGCCAGCTTGATGGGGTCCAGCGTCGCCAGCTTGCGCTGGAACTTGCGCCACGCCCGCGCCAGCCGCGTGGGTAGGCTCGTCCGCGGCGGCTTGGGCCGCTCGCGCGGGTGTGCCGAGGTGATGGTTAGTGTGGTGGTGAAGGGTGGGTTGTGGCCCGCTCGCGCGTGGTGGTTGCTGCGGGTGTTGCCGCGCCCTCGGTTTGTCGAGGAGATGGGCCCCGTGGGGTCGTTGCCGTCGTCGTCGTCGTCGTCGGGTGCGCCCCAGGGTGCGTGCGCTGCGGCGGTGGAGGGTCTGTTTAGGACTGGTGCGATCGAGCCGGCTGGGGTGGAGGGCGGCGTTGGGCTGCCCGAGGATTCCGCGGTGATTTGTACCTCGGTCGTTACTGTGCCGTAGCATTGCTGTTTCTAACATTGCCAAGGTCTGAAGTCAGCGTGGGTTCAAGTGCCCAGGGGAGAGGTGATGTTGCAATAGTATGATGGGTTCAGCATGGCCGAGATCAACCGCACCTTTTCCGACTCGTTGCGTTCCGCGCCGTATGTGTCCCTTGCCTGGTTGCTAAGAGTCAAGTTGCGCAGCTGGTTGCGGTGGTGAAACACGTGGTACCCGACGGCCACGTAGATGACGCTCGACAGGACAATGCACGTCCAAATGGGCAGGTAGTAGGTGAATATCCGCAGTTGGTTGTACGCGTCATTGATCCAACACCACATCTAGCAAGGTTGTCAGCGCCGAGAGCGTTGGGCTCGCACCCGGGTTACGTACCGTGGCATTGCCGTAAATGTGCTCCCCGTTCGGCGCATAGATGAGGCAGATGACCGCTGGGACTGCGGGTATTCCAAAGCAGATGAGGCAATAAAGCCACAGGTGCTTGTGGAATCGATTGGGAGGGTAGCTCATGAAGAAGACCATGTAGACATTGACTGCCATTGCGAATGACCACCAGGGATCAGACTGCATGAACCTGAAGTAAGCGTCAGAGAATGTGTACACGCATAGGTGACGAGATGGCACTTACATCTCGAGGAGAAATGCCTGGGCCTGGCACAAGACGTCGGCGTCGCCGGCCAGGATGCCGCTGTAACCGATGAGGCATGCGATACTAGCGCCGACGTTTGCAATGGAGGCGAAGAAAATGAAGGTATTCGGGACCGTACGAACGCGGGGGAAGAAGCCGTACGTGATGAAGATCAAGCAGACACCAACCAAGCTTATGGCGGCTCCCAGCCTCTCCACATGCTGGAGGGTGACACGCTCCTGGTCTGTGAGATTCATGCTGCTTTCCCTCGGAACGGTTCTCAAACCATCCATAGCGGATGAGAGGGAGAGAAAGAGCTGGCTGAAGGCCGGGAGTGGGTCTTAAGTTGGTATGTCACCTCGACCGAGACTCTCTTGGGCGAGTCTGTCGGGTCTGGAAACCTTGGCCAACGGTGTTCCTCGTGGCGGCTGCAATGACATGGGCATCGACTGCCGAAGGCCCATAGAGTCAAAGCACCGGCTGGCTGTTGACCGCCAATCCCGATGAAGGATTGCTGGTTCCTAGGTGTGCTGCAGCTTGCGTTTCGAGAAGCTGTCTGCCTGATGTTAATTTTGCTGCAGGAGTCGATCTCTCCTCTAAAGCCACGTGCTGTGGAGATTTTGTCGATGTTTGTTTATCTAACCGACGTCGATGAAAGCGAAATAATTCGGTATGGTTGAGGTTGACGAAGGTGGTGTGTTTTGTTTTGTTTGGTTTGCCTGTTGATGTTTTTGGGGGTCGGTCGATGCTGTAGGCTGTAGCACTAGGCGCTATGGGTTGGCAATCTTCCAAAAGCCGGAAAGCATCAGATAAAGAACTTCCAAGTATAACTCTCGCAGTGAATGGCGTTCAAACACGGGGATGGGACTGGTAAAACCTCGACAGGTTTCTGGATGGGAGTGTAGCAGCTGCACGCCACTTACTGGGAACAAACCGGGTTCACGCAGTTAGTCATGTGGCTCCCTTCAAACGTCGATGGGACGGAAGGGCCCTACCTTGGGTAGGTAGGTAGGTAGGTAGGTTGTCATGCCAGATCAGCGGGGGTTGGGTGCAATTGGTACCGCAGGTTGCAGCCGGCTCACACAATCATGAGCGAGTCTAGTCTCAGTTCAGTAACATCAGCTTGGTGTTAGGAGACGTTGCTTGGTAGTTTTCCGAATCGGTTGTCAGGCGCGTCTCTCCATCAGGTGCTGGCTGGCCTGTCACGCCCGAGGCATACCATGAGCCCATGTCCTCCTCTCTTTTCTGTTTCTGGGCAGACACAGAGGGACAGCTCGATATTGCGTGTGCTACTCGACGACATTACTGAGACTTCATTGATTGGGTACTTGCAGGACCACAGCAGGGTCGTCCTTCCTCACAGCTGCAGCTCGATTTCGGGATGTTCCAACAAGAAACTGGGGCAGATATGCCAGATCGCCGGGTCACGCAGCGGACGGGGTTTAACCAGGCACTTAAGATAAAGGTGCAGAGGCGGGGAGATTACTAGGCCATGTTGCAGTAGTATCAGGCTTAAAATCAGCCCACCGATCGATCCCTCACAAGGAGTACGATCGAAAGCCCGTTTGCTTCCATGCGGCGTTTTTGGCCGCATGGCCCGCCAGGGAGAAACGGTTGCGTGGGACGGGGACTGGCTGAGAGCAAACAAACATCCAACTCTTCAGCCATTTGGCAGCCAACCATCAGCTCCTAGAATAAACGGAATATGATAGGCTGGCGTTTAAATGCCGGAAGGCTTCGGCCGTGAACGCTATCTCTGACGGGACGGATCATGGATGGGAGACCGGGCCGAGCAATCAACCCTACCTAGGTACCTATTTCCAGGCGCCAGGTTGTGGGTTGAAGAACGCTAAGACACTTCTGCCAAATCTCTAGGTAATTAGTTCGTGAGATTAGACCCTCAGGTGCAGCTTCCCTTCGTTTCAAACAGATTTTGCACACGGGCACC